GCAGAGCCCCTGCTGACCATGGCTGCCTTGCCTGCTCCGAAGTTGCAGGCTGGTGACAGCACAGGCAGGTCTCAGGAATACTGATCTTTACAGCTATTTGTTTTTTCTCCAAGATGCTTGCAGTGATTATTTCTCACCTGACTTCTAAAAGGAAGATCACCTAGATAACATTGCAGAGACAGGATCAAATTTTCGGTAATTACACTTGCTACAAGACATGCCCAATGTTTACTGAGTGCTTACAGAAGGAAGCAACAGAACATGTGGCAAACTCACCACATTTGTCCCTGTCCTTAGAGGAGTTATCCCAAGCTGATAAGAGATAGGAGAGAAACAAACCTTTGCTTAGTGCTGAAAACACACAAACCAGCACAATTTGAGAAGGGAAACCTGCCATGGAATGCAGAGTTTCACTGGGTGAAGGGACAAACTGGGGCCACACAACAAAAGCACATATGGTGCATCTTTCTGATTATCAGATTTGTGATTAGATTTAATAAATGTTTGCTTACATTTCGTTTGTGCATCCAGCACCATCCTTACTTTCCTGAGCTTCACCTACTTTGGGAGGTAGTGGAAAGAAAATCTCCAGTTTGGTTTTTGCCTTTGCGTTCCTCTCTGCTATCCATCTGCAACAGAAAAAGGCAGAATTTGAAAAGAAGCAAGAAATTTTTTTAAATCTCTGCAAAATTAAATTTTTCCCATTGAAAAATATAAATTGGTGAGAAGTTTATATGAAGGAGCGTCTTTCTCCTTCGGATGCTTGCAGAAAATATTCCTTCCACTTTTACGCCCCCACCTGGTTAAATACTGAACAGGAGCACAACGAAGGCTGCTTCTGTGCTACCGTGAAACAGCGACTGAAATACTGAACAAGTTGTACACAGCACACTGGAGAAAAACATGTGGCTACATCTTTTATGCACAAAAAATGAAATTTGCAAGGACTACAAGAAAAACTTCCATCAAAGTTTGCCACAGACCCTGAAGATGCAGTCTGGGCTTGGAAGGACATTCTGAGATCCCTGAGATTAAGAACACACACTCACAAAGGCAACAAGCTCAACTGTTCTAAAAAAAAATATTTCAGAATGAACAAAGCTGACTCTGCTAAAAAAACCTTGGAAACAAAAGCATGCAATTGAATAATAAAAAAAAAAGGCTAGCAACTGAATAAATAAAACTGAATATATTAATATGAAAGAGCAAAAAGATTTACAGGAACAACACAACATGCTAAAGCTTACATCTCGGACTCCTATCAGAAATTTTAGGAATGTAAAGACAAAACAGAACCTATTCTGAAAGCTCATTTGCCAGAGACTTCCTTTTGACAAAGTACTGGGGTTTATTCTGCCTGCCCTGTACTGGACCATTACTGTGAGATCTGTGCTTTACCTTGACCTGAAACTTTTCTTTGCCTTAGCCCATTTCTTAAATAAATTCAGCATACAGAGATGCTTTCCCATTCAGTAATTGTCAGAGTATCAGTGTTTCTCCCTTCAACCCGGTACCAAGAGGCAAAAGGGGCAAGAAAGGACAGATAGATGCAGTCCCTTCCAAAGTCCAAGAATTTTGACATTAATTGTGCCGTACCTCCAGGTAGTGCTATAAATCACTAGACCACTGTTTCAACAGGCTGTATGTGATCCTACTTAGTGTATCACTCCATCTTCAGTGAGAGCACACGCAGTTTCCTGTGGGAGCTTTGTTTACATATTTTCTTATGAAAAAATTGTACCAGTGGAAAGTTCCCAGCTGGCTGTATGTGAAGTTTCGGGCAATAAACCACTGAGAGGGTTTGCTGACACTCCCAGTACTCCCAGCCAGAGCTGCTGCATTCCATGGCCGACCCCTGCAGCAGGCAGACTCCTCTTGCACACCGGCCCCTCTCCAGCTCCCTGTCAAATTCCTCCCTTTTGCCTGCCCTGGTTTTATCTCATACACATAGAAATCTAAAGTCCCTATTGCTCAGTTAGGCCTCATACATACTTTCATCTCTGAAACCTACCTCAGGCATAACAGCCGAGAAGCAGCTGCCCCGTCAAGGGAGGGTATGAAGGTGTGAAGGTGTGAAGGTATGAAGTCCTCCCTTGCTTTCAGTGGTGCATTCCGAGGTGCTCCCAGCAGGCACCAGCCTCCAACACCCGTTGAAGGACCAGCACCTAAGGGCAGATTTGCATCTGGCCGTTAAAGAGGGGGGAAATTTGCCGCTGGTGGCATTGCAGCCCAGAGGCAGGAGGGACACGGGAAGGTTTCTGACCAGAGAAGAGGCTGAAAAGGAGGCGGCATCTCACTCCCACCACCATTTTCAAACCAAGCAAGAGAAACAGACAATCTCGCAAGCGCTAAAACCCACACGTTTCTCTTAAGAAGACGCATCTCCACACTCTCCTGCCCCAAAGCCTCACAGCCCTCCGCCTTTCCAGGCGTCAGTTCCAGCCGCGAA